AATCACGGTGACCGTCGCATATATAGCGTAAAGGATTGTTGTAAAATGTTTTATGCGTCGCATTGAAACACAGCACTCTTCTTCTGAAAGAAGAGGGAATATATGTACATAAAAACATATGAACTCATCATGCTCACGGGAATATATTTGAAAATGGATTTGATTTTTGAAAAATCACAAGAACATTCATGAACATAATGAACATAGATGAACATAGATATTTCACTCCGGCATATTTCATCATTAATTAATTGCCAATTTTAATATCATGCAGGTACATGTACATTGTAGAATCGGGGATGGGGTTAGGTGAAAACTTTACTTTCATAGGCGTCGGAAACAAATTAAAGGGGGGCTAATTTGAAATGGGGGGGGGCTAAACCAATAGACTGGTTGTCCCCTTTTTGCAGTATATAGTCAAATCCGGGTAAGGCAGATGGTATTTTTGGATAAAATTTGGTTGTTCAAGAACTTGAATCATAACACCCCCTCCCTCCATCCCACACAACACATTTCCGAAATTGAATTTTGAGTTTAGAAAATGTTCCTTTACTTACACTTTGCATGATAAACCATCTAAGATATTTAAGGGTTTTTTGGGGGGGAGGGGAAGGAGTGACACTGTTATGAAAATTGAGGTAAAATTTCTACTTTACATTTTGTTAGCCATCAAACTCTTTTTCAATTGTATCTCTTTAATCTACGTAGTTAATTTCAATTTTCTATATTGATGTAGGACAATTTTAAGAGTTAAAAAGGTACATAACAATGACTGATTGACTAATTTAAATGTAAAATATCTACTGTGTATCAAAATAAACTTTTTTACAACAATATTCTCTGATTTGTGCTATTCTTATTTCGTGTGTTGTACGATCGCTATTTCTATGTTGTACGATCGCTTCATAAAAAGATAATGTCGTTGACGATCGCCTCGCGGTTGTCAAATTTTCCAGTTAAAATTTGTTTTAAGATAATGTATGTAGTTTTAATTTTAAAATCAATTACTTCATACTTCCAAGAACCGTTACATAGCAAAAGCAGCAAATGTTCTTAGGTAATAACAACAATAAACTATTTCAAAGCATGAAAATTTGATATTTTGAACAATGTCGATTTGATCGGTAGCATATGCACAGAAACTGTGAAACAAATTTACTCTCGGTAAATCCTAAACTGTAGATAATTATCCAAACTAAATGTTTGCTAATTTTATTTTCAGCTGGTAACACTCCAGCACATACAAAACTATTTAAATTTACCCCCTACAATACTTTCTTCTTCAATGTTTTGATCTGCGTTGCCGATCACATCCGCGTTGCCGACCGCGCGTTGACAGGGGTGTTTCATGAAGCAACCCAAAAGTTATTTTATTCAACGATTATTTTTTAAATAAAACAGTACTATAGTTTTGACGTCAAGTGTTTTATTATGACGTCACAATGGAGATAGTGCTCATCCATGTAAAATGAAGTGTTCTTTTTGTTCATGCAAAAATATTTGTACACTGTAAATGTAACTATTTCAAATTAATTTCAAACTATTATTTGCCAAATAAGATTATTTATGGATAAGGATATGTATTTAAAAATATATATATTGTAGATACAATGAAATAATGAAATAGCCCCTTTTTATTCAATGTATTCAAGTGACTGACCCCCCCCCCCCCCCCCCCCCACCGACTCCAGGTCACTAAGAAGAAACCTCGCTGAGTGTTCAAAGCATGAAGATTTTGGCCTTGGCCGACTGTGCACTCGTTTAAAATATATATATTTATACCGATATAGTAGCAAAACAAATGTTTTGGAGATGAGAAACAAAGTTTTTAAAAAATGCTTTTTTCGTGGCCATTGTCCATAATACGTAAATAATTCTACTTTACATATAAAATGAGCACCAGCTGTAAGATTTTCAGAGAAAAAGTATTTATTTATCTATACATATGGCTTTTATAGTCTTTAAACAGATTCTGCATATTTAAGGTCCAACAACAAACCATCATATGAAGATCTGTGAAATCTTTTAATAATCTAGGGAAGGGGGGGGGGTACTGAAATGCGTGTAGCTTCAAAATGAATCTGAGTACCTTGCTTCATATTTTAACCCTTAATCACTTATAATAATTAGTATATCATATATTAGTTTTGGTAAATTCAGTGGGTAATTTTTTTCTAGACGTTGAAAACGGCTCTTGAGGTGAAAATATAACAGCAAATTTACAATTAGTACTTCCCCAAAAAAACGATGCCATTACTACATCTATCAGTAGTTTCCAATACAATTTTTATTTTCAATAAAAATAAAGCATATTACTTAATATCTTGAGGAAATTAATAAATTTCTTTCAATTTTGATTCGTGTATGGCATATTAAAAAAACCACCCTATAAATATCAGAAGATTAAAAAACGGTGATTACCATGGCAATCATAACTTCCTTATAACCCTGATGACCATAGTTGATGCTTCCATATAATGGTATCATTGACATAAGGCATATCATATGTAAAAATGAGAAAAAAATCATTGGGCGGATTTTTTTCACGGACCCTTGCAATCCTTCAAGTGTTTGTGTGTTTTCTTATTAAATGATTAGTAATTTGTTAACTTACATTATGTAAATGTCTACTCAAAACCACTTCTGAATTACCCAAAATGCTTTGTATTTCAAATACTAAGTAATTCATTTTTTTTTATCATTTTAAGTGAATTAATTACTCGTTACTGCTTCTATAACTATAAAAATTATATTACTTAAAATTACTAATAAATATTATAAATTGCTTATCATGATTGCTATGGTGACAAACTTTTTTACTTAAAAATTACTTAAATTAAGTAATTCGTTTACTTGATTAGAGTAAAAGTAAGTAATATTTTTTTGAATGTACAGTGTATTGTCTATTATTATGCTTCCTGTCAGTTTTTCTCTACATACATATAACCCATACCCAACTATTCTCGCATAGTGGTCTAAGGATTTATATAGCGTAAGCATACTATGCCGAAATAGTGCACGGCCTTATTTTCTGAATAAAATTCTACAATGCACACACCGGGAATCGAACTCACGACCATGAGGTTGCCAGTCCGACGCCTTATCGATTACGCCACAGAGCCGATCACTGATTGGGAGAATTTTATTAAATATTTAAACTTAATTTATACAATTGACACAAGAAGGAGAAAATAGACAAATATTATTTGAAATCAGTTATATTTATTCTAAGGGATCTTAGATAAATATGTACAACACAGTTTCAAACTAATTACATACAGATCGTTAGATGAATTGATATCATGGGGTCATTAAAACGCTTTTTTATATAGCGCTTGATTGAAGGATGTAAAAGAAAATTATCAATGAGAATCCACGTCTGTAAACAAATCAGTCTTACTAACAAAACAGAAAATAAAGATGAGTATCTTTGGGACAGAAAATCCTGACTTATTTTGAGAAAATACTAGTAACCAAAATAACTAAGCATGCAACTAATTTTAGCATGAAGATTTTGAATGAGTTTTTGCAAGAGCGCTGTGTTACCACCATTATTTTCGGGAAAAAATCAAATGGATTGCCGCATAAATAATAACAACAGTCAGCATAATAATAACAATAGTGTTGCATTATGCATGTACTATGCCTAAATAGTAGGCAGGGTTTGACACATAGTGCACTCGCCTCCGGCTCGTGCACCATGTGTCAAACCCTGCCTACTATTTAGGCATAGTACATGCATAATGCAACACTATTATATAATTTTATTTTTCGCTTCCTCGAGCATAAGAGCCATTTAAAATATACATGCAGGAATTATGTTTGAAAATAACTATCCTCTACAACGTCTTCTTCGACAGCGCCTTTTGGCTCCGGTGTTATATATATTCCACTTGTTCTTTTCCAGCCTGATACTTTTTCTACAGAAATAAGATTATAATTATGATTGACATCTTATCAACCATTATGGGCTTTAAAAAAAAGCTATAGTAAAATCGAACGAAAATTATTTATTTTAATGAAAACAATTAATCATTCCAAAATTTTATTAGGAACATAAAACTTTTACTTCTTAGTAGTAGATAATATACACTTATCCACTGGTTGTGAGTGGGATAGCTCTTTTATCAAACCCGCGATAGGAACTATTCCCCGAGGGCTTGTCCGAGGGGAATAGTTCCTGTCAAGGGTTTGATAAAAGAGCTATCCCACTCACAACCAGTGGATAAATGTTTTATTATACTGATGTATAATTGCAATTTTTGAGGTTTGAATTATTTTTGAGTAAGATAATACTACAAGAATAATCTGACATCATGATGACGTCACAATGCTACTGAAGTCATTATGACATCATCAGTCAATAGATTTATCGCTGGAAATCAAAATTGGAGGCAAAAATTGCATGAAAATTTTCCGAGGGTGGATAGCAAAAACTATACCCCGGGGTATAGCTTTGCTATGCGTAGACTATCAAAGATAGCTATTTTACCTTCTGAACTTTATATAGGAAACATTTTAACAGAAGTATAATAAAATAAATTATCGCGATGTCTTCATGAAGGTTCCAAATTATTTCATTCATGTTTTGAGAATGTTCGTATGAAGATAACGAACAGTATTCAAGATCAGATGTCCATTTAACAAAACAAAATAGGAATAAAGCAAATACGAACCTCCAAAACATCAGAGGTGGGATCAGGTGTCATGATGGAGTGAGCGAATATAGCATTTTCTGCCATCATGAAACACAATAGATACCGGGGTATACGATTGTTTGTTTCAAGACGGCAGCACATCTTGTTTACTTTTGTTTGCATTAAGTCTTGCCCCGTTTCTAAGAAGGCCCTCTTTTTTCTACAATCACGTATTACCTTACATCATAATCGTTATGCCTTGAGATTTCGTTTTTTCTTTAACCTCAGCTCAGTTCATATGAATTCAAAATAAAATGTATTGTTCCTTTTCCAAAACAATATTTTAATGGATAAATAGCTCACCTATCTTAGGCTTTGTGGCAGCACTATTTCCAACACTTCTTTTGGCAATGTCATGAACTGTTTGAGACTCCATTTTTCCTCCTTGCCATAGAAACATGGTACCCACCAGAAGAAGAAGAATTAATTGATTCCAGGGCATTTCCAACAATTGTCTATCTATAAGAAAACAAATGTTTATATATCTTAAGGAAACTGGAAATATCTGTGTCTTATCGATTTCTAATCATGAAATTACTATAGTCTAATGTATTTGTATTATGTACACCAGGATAGTCGTATATTATCTACACATGTGAAAAAAGTGTTTAATGAATCTGTCATAGAAACAAGTTGTGCACTGTTTTGCAACATTTGTTTGATCGATCGATAATGATGGCCAAAAATAAAGTTTTAATTTATTTAAGGAATGAAGCTTATTTCAACTTATGTTATCCGATATAACATAACTTGGGACAGTTTACGCTTTATAAACCGCGAAGCGGTTTATAAGAAAGCGTAAACTGCCCCAAGTTTTGTTATATCGGATAACATAAGTTGAAATTAGCTTCATTCCTTATAATTTAATTTCTGTGTAGACAATGAGACAATATTTCCTCCGGAAAAAGGTTTCAAATTGAGCATTATTTTAAAAGTAACGTCAAGCGGAGTAATACGTTTTTGACGTAACTCATTGTGACGTAGGCAAGTTATCTTATACAAAATGTTATATGTTCCTCTGAATGATTCAGCCAATGAAATTGCTTGATACAAGTGAAATTAAATTATTTGTAATTAATTAGCTGCTCTCAATATATGCACCGTTTTGAATACCGTCTTATAAGTATGTACCGTTATAGATATATAGATTTTATTCTTCATGTACCCACAGTACTGAAATTGACCATACAGAAATGAAAGATCACCGATGGTACGTGTCGCCTCTTAGTAAAAATCTAAAATAAAAATAATTTTGTTAGAACCTGTGTCGGAAACGTCTTTGTCTCAAGATTTTAGCATTCGCTTATCAGTCGGTTAAAAGTACATGACATGTTTCCTTCTTATTATATAAAATGCAGACTTTGAAACTCGGAATTGTAATTTTATACTGCGACTGCACATTTTTAGTCGTGGTACTTGTTTTGAAGAGAATATGAAAAATAACAAAAAATACTTCTTCAGACATCGTCGTTTTAGAATTTTTTATGATCAGTACACATTAGTAACATTGACAATATTAAGTAAAATTACTCAGGAACTCTTTACACATAGTTATGTAGTTTCTTTAGTTTTACTTAATAACATAAAAGGATATTTGAAACTTACGTATAACACCAATGTCATTGGGTTTTAAGGAGGAATGCCACACCAACTTTTTATTTTATAGATCTCTGAGTCAACCTTTTTAAACAATGGTTTCAGCATTAAAAGGCCGACATTAGCTCTGAATTATTTTATATGAAATTTTTTGTATTTTTTCAAAGAAAACGAAAAAAATTAATTACATCCAAATAAGGCGCTTCCGTGTAAAATTTTTGCTGAAAATGAATGCATCACATGAATACCTAATAAAATATGTAAAGAAAGTCTGATAAGACTTTTTAATTTTTTTTATAAAAAAATATTTATGAAAATAAAACATATAATTTATGAATATTTTTTAAACTTGTGGTTAAAATCTTCTTAAAACAAGCCACAACTGGGGAGAACATGTTCATTAATCATATTTATAAAAGAAATTGAAACGAAATTGCCAAATTTTACAGAATTTCTTTCTTTTTTTTATTTTGGCCAATCCCGATCAAAATTAAACCGATCTCGACTATAATTTACAATTATTGGAAATAAATAACATTTTCCTAAGAACACTAGTCTGATTAGGTGTTATAAGGGTTAAAATATTATAGAACCTGACAATAAAATAGATTTATTCATTGTAAATACATGAAGAGGCAATAAATTAGCATTTTATTCATTTTGTGTTATTTTTGATCGGGATCAGTTTAATTTTGATCGGGTTAGGTTCAAATATTTAAAAAATTAATTTCTCTAAAATTTCTCAATTTCGTTTCAATTTCTTTTAAAAATATGATTGACAAACATGTTGTCCTTAGTTGTGACTAGTTTTATGGTGTTTTTAACCATAGGTTTAAAAAATATGTACAAATAATGTGTTTTATTTTCATAAATAATTTTTTATAAAAAAAAATTAAAAAGTCTAACCAGACTTTCTTTTCATATTTTATTAGGTATTCATGTGATGCATTCATTTACAGCAAATTTTTTACAAGAAAGCATCTAATTTGGATGTAAATAATTTTTTTCATTTTCTTTGAAAAAATACAAAAAAATTCATATAAAATAATTAAGAGCTAATATCGGCCTTTCAATGCTGAAACCATTGTTTAGAAAGGATGGCTCATAGATCCATAAAATTAAAAATTGGTGTGGCATTCTACCTTAACAATAACCTTATATTTTGATACTTCATTAAATCAATCTATCATATGGTTTTCGAATCACGTTACATCACTGCAATGTGTTACATTATGAATTGGATGCCATCATTAAGCCAACGAAAAACTGTTTTTCACTTTCTGAATGATTCATTCCATATGCCTTAAGGATGCTGAAATAAATAATACATGTGATCTGTCAATTTCATCACTTGCATATGAAAAAAAATCATCAATGTTAGTATTAAATTATCTATATTTAGAAAATATTTAAAAATCTATAAAATTGCTATAAGCGAATATATTTAATACTGTATTAAAATAAGATTTTGTAATTTTTAAGAGATGTTCAAATTGTAGACTGGTTTTTTACTCTTTTATTGATAAGAAACAATGATATAGATAAGACACAGATAAACTACATTACACATTGACATTTGATGATTATTTTAACATAGAATAAAGAAAAAAAGGAAAGCTATAATCAATTTGAGACAATAATAGAAATGATATTTATACTACTATTGATGATAATAATAGATAGGAGAATCTATGACAAATGTGATAAATACATGTATAATGGAATCATTAAGAATACGGTATGTTCCTATGTTAGCATGATAGGCCACCCTCCACACTTTCAAGAGTCCATAATGCTCTCATGCTAACACAAAGACTCCACAACTTGTTTTGTGGACCTGCTGGTAACATATATTTACATTTACAAATTAATACAAACTTTTTTCAGCAATTTGTGAATCTGTACATTGTCATATGAAAATTATGCAATATACTGATATGTATTTAAAGATGATTTCACAAAATTAAACAAGGAATTTTTGTTACAAATTGTATCTGTCAATGTACACTTCATCTTATATTTAAAACTTTTTAAGGCAATGAAAGATATCAATGTATTCATGCCGTTGATAAAATCTGTGTTTTCATAAAAACCTATTACAATATGCTTCGAACTTATTTTGAAACCTAAAATTGTACTTATTTTGTACCATATAAACTTTGAGTCATCACAGTTAAATAAAAGATGTATTATATTTTCAATATCTCCACAGTTAGCACAAAAATTTTGTACATTTGGATTCCACTTACTCACATTAAGGTTATTGTTTAATAATTTATGAAATAATTTATAATTAAGTTCTGCTATATGCGTATCAATCATTTTCGAGATTTTCACATGATAAATGGAAGCCCATAGATACCTGGGAGTATCAAACAATTCACTCCAGTAATTTTCAAATTGTTCAAATTTTCAAATTGTAGACTGGTTATCTTCTGAAACTTTTGCATCATTGCGGTAATTGGTAGGAACAGCATCTGGTCTTGGTTTTACAATAATTTTTCGATCAGCTTACAAACCTGCATGATGATCTCATTGTAAACAATAATAGGATATAAATGTACATAATTAGATTAATGTATACAAGTAACACTAGTATATTTTGTAATCCAGGAAACTTCTTATTCCGGAAAGACAACAAAAACCGTGGCTGGATAAAGAGAACTAAATAAGCATTTCGAGGTCTTTCATCTTTGTCATTCTAAATCATTGTGCTTCTCACATGCATGAATTTTTTTTTAAAAAGAAAAAGCACGACTTTATTTATCCGGGTGTGTTCGGTGTCCTCGTCGTGCTTGGTTTAATTCCGTGATCGGGGCTATTCAAAGTGTGACTGTGCAATGTGATTATAAGTCATCTGATGGAGTATACTAGTATTTCTTTCTTAATTAGTAGCATAAAGTAGTTGAGGAGCATAGGAATGGGGCCTTTTCCCTCAGTAACTTGTGTCCCTAGGAGTAAGTAGCAACACCACTTCACTAAGTATATCATCCAACCTATGAATCTGTTTGTTATGATAATTCAGTATTATAATAATGTAATAATACTCAGCAAATTATGTACCTTGATTATTATTATATAATATTCCTTTATCTGAAGCCTCTTTGTTAGATTCCCCCTCCCCATTTAAATTGAATAGAAAATTTTCTATTCAATAGAATATTTTCTATTCATATTTATTTATTTATATTCCACGGAATCGAAAGTGAAATAGCTAATGAAACCATGCAACTCATTTCAAATTATATTCAGTTCATAAAAAAACAGCAATGATATTCCCATTACAAATTTATAAGACATATAATTATGTGTTATGTGTTATTCCATCAGAAAAGAAACCAAAACCAAAGAAAACAACAACGAAAACATCAAGACCTAGACTACGACCAATGACTGGGAAAGAGAGGCGGGCCAGAAAGGCTGTCATTCATAATCATCACGTCAGACAGGCGCGAAAAAGATATCGTCGACGTCGACGATGACGAAACAATCGACCGGAAGTGCATGGAATGAAACTGTTAATTCCCTCAATATACGAATAGAATGTGACAAAATTCAAGGAGATTTAACATGTAGAATTGAAAGTTTTAGAATTGCTTGGTTTTTGTTAGCTTGTAAAGATCTATATACATTTTTTTGTCAATTGATAATACACATATTGGAAGACAGAAAGAGACGAAATCGTATTAATTGGATGGGTTTCATTAAAACGTATAGAACTTCAAAAAAAAAAAAAAAAGAAAAAGAAACGCATAGTAGATTAGTGACACATTGAACATAAGGGTTTTGTAGTAAAATGATGTATTGATAATACAGAAATGTGGTTCACAATAGGAATACTATCTAAATGTCATAATTACCTAAGAGTTTTAAAATCCTAGACAGTTTAAGGTGATTAAAGATCAATATCTGGTATGCCCCTACAGACACAAATGATGACCAAAAACAGCATCTAATGGAACCAAATGTGTGTAATAAAAACTGTATAAGAATACCCTCCCACTCCAAATGTAAAGCTTTGGACAGCTGTTGCAGAATCTGAGGATGCGACTGTCTTTGACAAATCATGTCTTTCCATTTTGTCCAATGCTGCTCAATTGGGGTTAAATCTGGCGAATTAGATGATTATGGCAGAAATAGGTTATTGTTGCTTTGCAAGAATTGGAGTGTCAAACAAGCCGTATGTTGCTGTGTATTGTTAGATTGAACTACGGCTCTAGAATGCCACAAAACTGAATAAGCATGTGCAGGTGGAACATCGTAAGAGTATCTTTTTCTATCAAAGTCTTTGAATACGAACCAGATTAGTCTTAGTTTTATGTAATATTATATTCCATATCATTACACTACCACCACCAACTTTTTTAACGTCCTGGAGACAGTTTTCTGTCGTTCATTACGAAGCCTTAGCACTCTTAAATTTATAACAGGCTTTCCGATAAACATTCTGGACTATTAGCTGAACAAAAATTTTCAGCGGTGATGCTATGTCATACTCTATTGATCGGGGATTTTTGAAGTCGATATTTGGGGTGTTGTGGGGTCAGAACAATGGCATGTATAACCCCCTTGCGATAATTCATAATCAACTGAAAACAGTCTTCAAATGGTCTGTGCAGTTCAGGGATAGCTAATGCTACATTTGTTAAGTTTACGTAATCCTCAGACCT